ACCTATTTTTAAAAAAAACTGAACTCGTAAGGGCCAGGGATTTAGCGCAGTGATTTCGCCACCTGCTGCACAAGCGCAAGGACCGGAGTTCGATCCCTGGTACCAAAAAAAAAAAAGTCTCAGCTGAGAAATGTAGGCAATACTAACAAAAAAACAAAAAACTTCTATAAAAAAAAAAAACCCTAAATAATAAGATTCAGGGACCAGGCCTTTAGCTCAGTGCCACCGTGCCTACCTTGCAAGCGCAAGGCCCTGAGTTCGATCCTGATGCGGGGCGGCGGGGTGGGGGATAATAATAATGAGATTCAGGAATCACCTCAAAAACCAGTTATAAACATTTAGAGGGCGTCTGGGAGGGACCTACATCCAAGAGCAGTCAGCGCGATATCTGATCCTGAAGGCGCCCGGGGTTTACTTCTCTTTGATTGACATCCTAAATTCTAAAGAAATTATTACTAAATGATCTAGATACTAACATCTGGGGTCAGCCAGTCCCGGAAAACGGAACAGGCCAACACAAGTCAGTTATCTTTAGATTTCCAGGCTCAGAACATCTGGTGACCTTCAGACAACCCTGGAATATGAGAGAACGTCAAGGAGGATTCTCAGACTGCTCTGTGGGTGCGCGCCTGTCATCCCAGCACTCGGAAGGCTGAGGCAGGAGGATCACAAGCTCCAGCCCTGCCTGGGTAACTTAACTTATGGAGACCCTGTCACAAAATTTTTAAAGGGCTCGGAGTGCAGCTTAGTGTGAAGGCCCTGGGCTCAACCCCTAGTACCGCAAAGAATTTTTTGAAAAAGGAAGCTCATTTCAGAGATTCTTGGTTTGACAGGTTTCCCTGCAACTAGCCCTACTCAAGACCGTGAACTTGGAGGGGACTCAGCGAGCTCGGACTTCGCGGGGAGATAGCCCTGCGCCCAGGCGATGTCCACGTGGCCACCAGATGGCGGCAGAGAGCCAGGACGCAGTTGCCGCGCGACCTGCAGACGTGCGTAATAAAATTTTAAAATACAAGATTTAGGTAAAAAAACAAAGCACAGGTAGCCATTTGCCTTGCCTCAGACACTAGCCAAAGACACTAATACAGGATTACATAAATGAGGACAATGACTTTTTATGTTTAAAATAGTATCAAATGAAAAATATGCATACTTTCACCTAAAAATATTGCATTTAAGAGTATATTTGATCCAGGCACGAAGGCGCACACCTGTCATCCCAGCACTCGGGAGCCTGAGGCAGGAGGATCATGGCAAGTTTGAGGCCAGCCTGGGCTACATAGTGAGTTCAAGCCAGGCTGAATTACATAGCAAAACCCTGTCTCACTTAAAAAAAACAAAACAAAACCCAAAACGACAAAGGTGTAAGGTCAGACCGAGATACAATTTAGACCTCCGAAGCAGGCAAAGTCTAAGCAACATGTGATGTGTTTATTGCCATCTGGGTGCAAACGGACCAAGGATGAGAAGACCATTAGCACTTGCAGTTGATATAGGGTAGTTTAGGTAGAGTTAGTGGCCGAGAGGGTGGAAAATTTTAGAGTTCCGTGGGTGATGGACCTGGGGCTGGCTGATAAACAGGACCGTGGTAGGAGCAGCAGGGCAGCTGCTAGCTCCCTGTTATCGCTGTCCTCCTGCAGATGCAGGCTGCAGGTCGGCTTGGGTGGGAGTCTGGTTCTGGGGTCTGTCAAAAAGGAACTGTGGGGCCGGGGATTTAGTTCAGTGGGTTCACCGCCTGCTACGCAAGCGCAAAGACCCGAGTTCGATCCCCAGTACCAAAAAAAAAAAAAAAAAGGAACTGTGCATATCTGCCCACAGCAGGTGGAGGGTGGCCCGGGTGCCTAGGAAATTTTTCACCCCACGCTCTCAGTGGCCTGACGGATCTCAGCCTGCACAGGGGTCTTAGAAAATTTCCGGAGACAGCCAGTAGTAACATTGCCAGTAGTTACATTGAAGTATAATATGAAAAATAAGGGTTTTTTCTTCTTTTAATTTTTAGTAATGTATGTGTTTTCTGTTTTGGGTTTTTTTTTGGGGGGGGGTACTGGGGATTGAACTCGGGTCCTTGCACTTGCACAGCAGACAGCAAAACCACTGAGCTAAATCCCCAGCACCAATGTGCATGTTTTCTGTTTTGAGTTTTATCTTTTCCTTAGAAAAATGTATTATTTACACTGTGCTGATTTATCTCCTCCAAACACAACCTCTAATAGGCAGTTAGAGAAGTGGCACACAGTGTAAAAATATGTAGGCACTGTACCGGTTTATCCAATTATATCTGAAATTTTTTCACACCCCAAACCAGGTACACTACAGATAACTGAGGTAGGGTAGGTGGAGGGGGCATCTAGATGAAGTGTTTATCCTGATGGGAATATCTTGTCTTAGACTCTAAACAGGATATTGGGGTTATGCGTTTGGCAGCTGATTGGCACATGGGACGATTACATAAAGTCCACATCTAACTACAGCATGTCTTCAAACTTTATCTTGTCACAAGTTCAAGGGCTGGGGATTTAGCTCAGTGGTTCCAGTGCCTGCCTTGGAAGCACAAGGACCCGAGTTCAATCCCCGGTACCAAAAAACAAAAGAAAGTGTACAAGTTCATAAAGATGCAGACCTGGAAGCTATGAGGTCAAAATGGCCAGAATGCAACTGTATGTTGCACTGTGTAAAACCAAATGAACTGTCTTGCACAGCCCTGGCTGTCTCTCAACCAAAAACATTCAAAAGAAAACCTCGAGTATGCTGAGAGGTAATTTTCAGAATACTTGGGTACCTTTATTCCTGAATATGAAATATTATTTTTTCAAACAGTAGCAAAGTTTTATTGAAGGTAGGAAAAGATATAGGCTTGCTAAGCAAGTTCAGGGCATGTCGAAGTAGGAAAAGTACACCCTATAGAGTGAGGGTGGGTCACCGTGGAGTAGAGAACACAGTGCCCCTGAATACCAAATATTAAGGTTCATCTCCATGATCACTTCTTGAAATAAGCACACAGGGCAACTCATTAGAGATTGCTCATTACAAATACTGAGCTCTTGAGTTCAGGGGGCTGGGGTTCTAGACTATCCAGGGCTGAGACGACTCTGAGAAGGGCCAACATTTATAGCTCTAAGTCTTATCCTCGTTCTGGGTACATTTCAGTTCTTCTCCAAGTCCGCTTTGCTCCAATTCAGCAACGACAGACATATATTTGAACTCATTTGGTCTGAAGTTAAATGTCTCCATTAACCCATCAGTCTCTTTACAATCAGTGGCATAGAAGAGCTGGACTTTGATGCACAGTGCCTCAGCAACATTCAGAAATGTGGAATCCATTTCTGCTGTCATCAGCACTATGCCCTTTTCTTCCTTAAGTTCTGGGTAGTGATACAAAATCAACTGGCTGGCTGCAGTGTCCCCTCGGGTCTAAGTATTTTTAAGTGCTGGGCCAGGAATTTAGCTCAGTGGTTCTGCCGCCTGCCCTGAGAACGCAAGGACCCGAGTTCGATCCCCGGTACCAAAAAACAAAAAACCTAAATAAATATTTTTAAGTGCAGTGGTGTGGAGTTCAGTACCTATTCATTGTCCACCAAAGAACTCAAAACCTTCCCTTCTTGGCAGTGCACACAGAAATGTTGGGCAGGATTTGATCTAAAACCAGACTCCTCTCTAAGAATGACTACGTGGGCCAGGGATTTAGCTCAGTGGTTCCGCCACCTGCCTAGCAAGCCCAAGGTCCAGAGTTCAATCCCTGGTACAAAAAAAAAAAGAATGCATAGATGGTATCTTTTGCTGCAAAAACTGCCAAATCTGTTTTATTTCTTCTGTAGTTTTGTCTTTCACCACCTTAGGGTTAAAGACTCAACTGACAATCTTGTCTTTGGTGAATCCCATGCTCTTTTGCTGTTTCCCCAAGGCATCTGTCTTCTGCTCCACACATTTGACGTACCGCCTTGCCTAGAGGGCCCCACTGGCTGCTTCTGAAACTTCCTGCACTTCTCCAGCCCGGAATCCAGAACAGCGGGCTCAGATCTGCGCAATTGCTGGATCTTGTCCCCGGAGCGATCATAGAAGGGTTTGGCCTAGAGCTCAGCCGCGAACCCGCTGCCGTCCGCTCCCCTAGAGAGCTGGCCCGAGCCTCGGGGTACAGGGAACACGCGCAGCTGTGCAGGTGAAACAAACCGTAGGCCCAGGACCCTGCTGTGCAATCTGCATAGGCTTCGTACATGTGCTGCCGAACCAAGCACTACCTGCAAATTTCGGTAGAGGCCGCTCCACCAGCAGCCGCTATTGTCGCCCCCGTCTCCCACACCTCCTCTGAATAGTCGGCCGCAGACCCTGGTCCCAGTGTCTCCTCCATTGCCCTCCGGCCCCGCGACGCCCGCGATTCGCCACTGAAGTTCCTCACGCCCAAAGTTCCGGGCACAGGAGAGGGGCGAGGCCGATGGGGGGGGGGGGGATAGGGTGGGGAAGGGGACGTTGGGACCCTCCGCTCCCATTCCTGTGTGAACTCCAGCAGCCTGCCGTCTTGGCTTTCTGTTGTTGTTGTTGTTGTTGTTGTTGTTGTTGAGACACGGTCTTGCTGTGTAGCCCAGGCTGGCCTGGAACTCGCGGCAATCCTGTCTCAGACTCCCCAGAACTGGGATTACAGGTGTGCTCCACCACGCTTGGTTTTTGGGGGGGATTTTTTTTTTGGCTTTTCTTTTTAAAATTACTATTTTCAGGCCTGGGATTTAGCTCAGTGGTTCTGCCGCCTGCCTCGCAAGCGCAAGGTCCCGAGTTCGATCCCCGGTACCAAAAACAATTACTATTTGCATCTATGCTGTAGACTTGGGCCCACATTGCTCTGTATCCTACACGCAGATGGATCGTGGACTCAGTGCGCCCACTCCATAGCGTTCAACCCAGTCCAATGCGACCAAGCCACACCGGCGCCGCCTCCACCCGGCCCGCAGGGGGCACCAGGCAAACAGGAAGTCCACGTTTTCATCTCTATGATCACCGAGGCGGCCGGAGTGACCCGGAAGTCGAGGCTGGAGAAGGGAGCAGTGCTTCCGGGTAGGAGTGAGGTGACCCTGGCTGCTGCAGTCACCTGCGGTGGAGCACCCATGGGGGCCCACCTGGTCCGACGCTACCTTGGCGATGCCTCGGTGGAGCCCGACCCCCTGCAGATGCCCACCTTCCCACCCGACTACGGCTTCCCCGACCGGAAAGAGCGCGGTGAGGCCCAGTGCGCAGGCGCGGCCAGCGGGCGCGGGGACCCCCCCCTCAACTCGGAGTCCCCCAGGGCTGATCGCGGCTGTGTCCTCACCCGGGGACCGGAGGACATACGCGACCGGCGAGACCCCTGGGGGCAAGAGAGAGGCGATCTGGAGCTGGTCTAGCTGGGCTTTGTTCCGGGGCAGCGGGGAGCCACTGAAGGGTTTATCACGGAAGGGGTACGATCGCTGTATCCCTGTTCAGAAGTCACTGACGTGTTCACATGTGCACCAGAGCCAGGCGTGGTGGCGCACCCCCGGAATCCCAGCACTTGCAGGCTGAGGCACGAGAATCTCTGGGAGTGCGAGCCCAGCCTGGGCTACATAGAGAGACCTTGTCTCAGAACAACAACAACAAAAAAACAACATTTATTCACGAGAAAACGCTGGGCGAAGGCGCATGCCACGTGTTCTGTCCTGGAGTTGTACTTTGTGTATATTTTTGTTTTTGTTGTTTTCCAGTGCTGGGAATTGAACCTAGGGCCTTTTGAGTGTGAAGCATATGCACCATGAGTGACCTACACCCACAGCCCTCGTTGCTGTATCAGTAACAGAGGCACAAGGAGCACTGATTCCAGCCCCCAAAGTGGGCAGAAGAGATGCAGATTCTGTCTCCAGCAAACTTAGCCCAGGGGAGACAGGGGAACTGGTGGATCTTGGTGGCACCCCTGGGGGTGGGTCAAGGCTGGCCTCAGGAGGCAGAGACGGAGGGGCATGAGTAGGGACTGACCTCTGAGCCTCCAGTTGCTGACCTGCCCACCCTCATAAGCACCTGCAACCCCTGCTCCTCTCCTGTGGCCAAACCAAAAGACCTGGTGGCACCCGCCTTTGCTGAGTCTCCTGTCCTCTCCTGGTTTGCCTCCCTGCTGGACCCTTAATGTGTCCAACCTGCTTGGCCCTTCGCTGTACCTCTATCACTTTCAGGGCATTGAGGCTGCTGCTGCTTTTCTTTTCCTTTTTTGCAGGACTGGGGATTGAACCCAGAGCCTTCACACTGAGCTACCTCCTCCACTCCCACCCCCTTTCTTTGATACAGCCTTGCTAGGTTGCTAAGTTGCCTAGGCTGGATCTGGAACTTATGATCCTCCTGCCTCAGCCTCCCAAGTGCTGGGATCCCAAGCATGCACCAACACGCCCAGCTGCATCTTCTTGAGAAAACAGAAGCACTCAAAGAGAGCTCTTAGGCCTCCCTGTCCCCTCCCCATCATACCCTCAGATTCCTCATCTTTGCCTGATGTTTCAGATGATCGTCCCTCCCTGGCTGAGCCCCTGCTACACAGAAACCCTCTTCCTCCCTCCACCACCTCTCCTCAGACCCCAGGACTCTGCCGCAGCTTTTCTCATCAGCAATGTGTAAATACACTGGCAGCTTCCATCATTTTAAGTTTTCCTAGCCCATCTCCAGCTGTCCCCTGCCACCTCACTGGAAGGGGTCCAGTCACACGTGCTGACACCACCACCAGCCCCCAGTGTCAGCTCTGCTCTTAGCCTGACCTTGACCCCCGCCACCTCCTGGATGCCTCCAACCTGGCTCCCAGGGCTCCACCTCCCCGGTCATCCTTCCCATCTCCCCTTTCAGGCCCCAAAGCTCGGGCTTTCTCTGTTCTATCCACTGCACCTGCCAGTTCCCTGGCTCCCTGTGCCCTCTGCTTGCCAGTGCTCCTGTTTGATCTCCTGGGGACCTTGACCCTAAACTCCACACTCAGACCTCAATTTTTATGTTAATGGGCTCCTTGCATTCAGCGGGTACAGAACAGCTCTGATCTCCCTCTTGGGGTGTCCTGACACCTGTTCCCTCCCCTCAAGGCTCTTCCCCCAGCTCTCATCTAACTGAACCCTCACCTCCCATGGTCCCCTCCCAACACTCTCCCCTGCTTTATCTCCCTAATTCCTTTTTTCCTTTTTTTGGGAGGGGTGAGGCGTTGCTAGGTATGGAACCCCAGGCCTCTTGCATGCTAGGCAAGTGCGATGCACTGAGCTACACCCCCAGGCCTTTTATTTCTGGAGACAGGGTCTCACTAAGTTCTCAAGTTGCTCAGGCTGCCCTTGAACTAGTAATCCTCCTGCCTCAGCTGGGATGATAGGTGTGTGCCACTGTGTCCCACATCCTTCCGATTGATAGACCTGCAGCAACTGCTCTTCTGTGTGCTGTGTGCCTCCCTCCAGGGCAGGGCTACCTGTCTGTCACATTCTCCCAGTTGTATCTCCACCACTTAAGGCCATGCTTATGGCTCTGGGGTAGGGTGGGGACTGACCTGAGCCCCAGGCTGGTGGCTCCCAAAGGAGCTCCAAGTGGATACGGGTGTTGCTGGGTGGAGCCCCCAAATTGGGCTCAACTTACTGGATGACAATGGAAGCCATGGATAAGAATGGCAGAGGTTGGGCTGGGGATTTAGCTCATTGGCACAGTGCCTGCCTGGCAAGCCTGGAGGTCTGGGTTTGGGGTAGACTGGAGCCAAGAGAAAACCAAAAGAACCCTGGGGAGGATTCTTTGTAGGAGGAACCACAGGGAGAGGCTGAGGAAGTATTGCGTGACCCTGTGAGCTGTGTCTGAGCTGGTATGTATTTCTTTATGAGACAAGATCTCACTAAACTGCCAGGCTGGGGTTGAACTTGGAATCCTGCTGACTCAGCCTCCTAAGCAATGCCCAGTTTCTATAGAAGTTGAGGCTCAGAGGGGCAGGGACTGGGCCCCCACGGGAAGGGACTGTAGGAAGTGGGGGATCCCCAGCTGGGGTCCTGGGGGAGGGGCCTGGCAGGACTATCTGCGGCTGAGGCAGGAGCAGGAGCGCTGTCCTCTGGGTCCAGGATGCCGTTGTGCAAGTTAGGAGCCCCTTGTAGACACTATGTTGCTGTTGGGGGGACCCCGGGATAGGGCAGGCTAGGCTGCTGAGCTTGTTGCCTATTCCCCAAACCCTCCCACAGTGATGGTAGCCACACAGCAGGAGATGAACGATGCGCAGCTGATGCTCAGCCAGCGGGACTACTGTGCACACCACCTCATCCAGCTGCTCAAGTGCAAGCGTGACAACTTCCCCAACTTCCTAGCCTGCAAGCATGAGCGGCACGCCTGGGACTACTGTGAGCATCTCGAGTGAGTCCAGGCCGCTGGGGGGCAGGGAGGGACCCAGCTGCACACCTGGGGGTGGAGGTGGCAGGGCGGTGTCCATGTCCGTGGCAGGCTGCGCATCTGGAGCCTGAGCCTGAGCCCTGTCTCTTGTCCCCAGCTATGTGCAGCGGATGAAGGAGTTCGAGCGAGAGCGGCGGCTGCTGCAGCGAAAGAAGCGGCGGGAACAGCGGGAGGCTCGGGCAGCCCAGGGCCACGGCTCAGGAGAAGTGGCCCCTGAGGTGGCCCTGTAGCATCGCCCACCACCACATGGATGAGAAAAGAAATAAAAAGTGCCCAGCACTCAACCTGAGCCCCCTTCTTCCTGCAGTGCCGGACGGTGGGAGACAAGAGCAGCCCCAAAGAACACATGAGCAGAGTGTAGCCGGGCAGCGTTTATTCCAGGAAGGGGCAGCAGTGCCACCCCAGGGGACACAGGACAGGGGCCTTAGAGCAGGAAGGGGACGATGGGCATACGCAGGGGTGGGTAGTCACGGAACTCCTTCAGGTAGCTTCGGTGCTTGCCTTTGGCCCAGATGGTCATCTGTGTGAAGCCCACCAGCGAGAAGAGGGCCACTGTGGGCGGCAGAGGGGTCAGCAGGCCACAATGGGCAGGATGCTGGGTGGCGGGCATGGCAGGGAGGGCAGGCTCACCTGGCAGGCACTGCGTCATGATGGCAAAGCCAATCCAGGACCCTACCTGTGGGAAGGGAAGGGAAGGGGCAGATGTTCTGTTCAGTGGCCCAGCACTGCCCAGAGCTTGGCCACTATCCCAGCCCCCATTTTTCCACACTGGGCATTGATCCTCAGGGCCTTTGTGAGGAGCTACACTGCCAGCCCACTTTTTTACTGAGACAGGGTCTCTCTCTGAGTGCTACACTGCCCAGGCTGGGCTGAACCTGCAGTCCCCCTGCCTCAGGAGGACATCAGCCATAGTGCTGAAATGACAGTGGCAGGCATGCACCCCATGTCAGCTTAGCACTTCTCTGCAGGACACTGCTAAGCCAACTCCAGCGAAGCAGGCCGCACACATGCCAACCTCCACCTGGGACCCAGACCAGGGTAGGGCGGGGTGGCCCTCACCTCGTAAGTGTAGTTGGGACAGGACACCAGCAGGAAGAGCCACGTGAAGGGGTTCTTGGTGGGGTATGGGATCTTCCTGGTCTTGGACCCTGACACAGGACAGAGGCAAGTGGGACCCTGTGCCTGACCTAGCCCACCCAGCCACCCCTCTGGGTAGGTCCTCACCAGCCGGCCGCAGGTCCCGCAGGGCCATGTGGATGGAGAAGTTGCCCAGCTGACAGATCTGTGGGAGACGTGGGTCAGCCCGGGACACCCAGCTGCACCCCACCCGTCACCCCAGCCTCCTTACCACAAAGATGGCCAGCGCCAGCTTAACCTGCTGAGCTCCGTAGGCTGCAGAGGAAGCAGGGAGGGGGCTGTGAGAGCCAAGAGAGGGGCAGAGGGCCAAGGGCCTCTCAGGGGCAGGGGGCAGAGGCACTTACTGGGGGGTGTATAGAGAGGGTGGTTGATGTAATAGGCCATCCACGCAGCAAAGCCCCAGTAGTAAGTGCAGTTCTGAAAGGGCAGGACAGGGACAGATGTGGGCAGCGTGGAAGGGCAGAGGGCTCTGCAGCGGGTGGGGGCTCTGGGCAGGCAGGGCCTGTGGGCAGGCTGGGTGGCCCTGAGCGGGTGAGGGCTGAGGATGGGGTAGGTGGAGCTCTGGGTGGGCACGGTCTGTAGGGCAGTGGGGCTGGTGGTGACGGGTGGGATAAGTGTGAGAGAGGTCCGTGGGTAGGCGGGGCTCTTACCTTGAAGATGTTTCGCAAGGGCATGGTGCCATGAGAGAAGCGGTGCACGAAGAGCGTCTCCAGCAGCCGCTTGACATAGTGGAATGAGTGGCAGATGCAGGCGAGGCTGCAGGGGAATTGGCTCAGCACACCGGGGCAGCAGGACCCCCATTTTCACTCCAGTCCCCCACCTCCACCCTGCTGTCCCACACTCACTGCACCACTGAGTGCCGACTGGATGTGAAGTCATATTTGTGGCCATAGAGGAAGGGGACCCGGAAGTAGAAGAGCAGGTAGATGAACAGGGGCCCGGCGTACTCTGTCAAGAAGACCTGAGCCCAGGACACAGTCGTCACCCCAGTGTGGCTGCCACAGCCGGGACCCGCCATGGTGGGGGCAGGCATGAGACTCACCGTCACCCAGCTGATCTGTGCTCCCAGGTCCCGGAAGTACAGTGTGGCTGTGGTGCCCACAGGCAGCTTCTGCAAGATGTCTTCGTCCTTCAGGGACTTTCCCTCTGCACAGCAGGTGGGTCAGGGGCTGCTATGTTCCCCACCTGATGCCTACCACCCCCAGGCTTGGTACTCACTTGGATCCAGGCGCAGGGACTGGCGGGCCGGGTACCACTGTGGGTCTGCAGGCAGACAGCAGTGTCACCCATTCGTCCAGCCTCAGCTGCTCCCACCCTCAAGGCTGGCAGAGCGGAGGACCTGTTTCCTCCTCCCGAAGCCCAGCAGGTGCAGGGGAGGGGAAGCACTAGGGGCTGGGGGAAGCAGTGCACATGTGACACCCTGGCCAGCAGGGATAGGCAAGTGTGGCTGGCGTGGACTCACGGGTCTTGGTGAAGAGGTTCTTGATCTCCGCAATGGTGGCCTGGGGCTCCACCTGGAGAGGCAGGGCAGGGACATCACCTCTAGGGGTCCTGACCCAGGAATCCAGGGAAGAGGGAATGGGGGCCAGGCTCCCACCACATGGTCCGGGCAGGAGCAGCAAGGGCCCTGCCGGTGGGGACAGCTGTGGGCCTGGGACCCCATGTTACCAGGCAGCTGGGTTGGCACCCCATTGCCCAGCAGGAAAGAGAAGGCCCCCAGGAGGAAGGGCAGCCCCACCTCCTTCCCAAGGCCCTGCAGAGCCCATTCAGGCAGCCCTGCCTCCTCCCCGAGCAGGAGACTAGCTCCCAGCCACACCAGGGGCCACACTGCTCACTCTGCCTTACGTGGGGTCAGCACCCATTGTGTGCCCCCTGAAGGGCAGGGTGTGGGGCACAAAGGGCTAGAAGGAGTGCCACAAACAGCATGATCCTACCTTGTCCAGAAAACACAGCTTTTCCCTTGTCTTGGCATCCAGAATCTCCACCTCGAAGAAGAGAACAGCCTTCTTAGGTTTCTTGGCTGCCTTGGGGGGCATGGGGCGGGGGAGGCCGTCGAGGCCGGGGCTGAGACCCTGGCTGGCCTCCCGGGCCACCATGTTCAAGCCGATGTCCATGCCGCCAGCCACAGGCCCGCTCTCCGCTTTGCCCACCCAGCGCAACCCAGCTGCCACCGTCACCCCCACCACCAACCTCCCGAAGCAGAGCAGCGCCGGGCGGGCAGCGATCAAATTCTGCCACAGTGCTGGAAAGGAGCCCGTGCCTGCCCTGGGCTGCTAGCTTCTGTGCCAGGTGAAATCCGAGTGGTACCAGAGCCATGGCCCAGCTAAATATAAAACCACCCAGACCAAGCCCCCAAGGAGCCACACCACAGTCCCACGACAGCACGGGAGACAGCAAGGTCCTTACGGCAGGCAGGGGCTCAGGCCAGCACCCTAAGGTGAGGCCAGCCTGGCCGGGCACCCAGCACAGGCCGAGGAAGTTCACTGGGCTCCAAGAAGCCCCAGCTATTTTGAGAATCTGAGAGAAAGATTATCTATTTCCCTTCTGAGCTGTAAAAGACATGCTGGATTATTTTCTCTGTGCATTTGTGTTCCCAGGGAGGTGACAGATTTCCAAGTTACTAGAGCAGGCAGCCTCTTTGTATATAAAAGGGAAGAGCCAGGGAGCTGGGGGGTTTCTGGCCAGCGGCCCTCAACCTTCTCCACCTCCTTCTCCTCCTCTGTCTCCACAGGTCCCCCAGGCCTTGTTCATGGCCACTGGTACAACAGTCTTCTTCCCACTGGGCTGGCCCAATGACACACACACATCCAGGCCTTGCCCAAGGCCCATCAGCAGACAGTGGCAGCACAGAGGGGCAGCACTGGACAGGGAGGGTGCAGTGGGCCAGAGAAGCTGCAGCACGAGGCTGGACAGCGCACCTTAGCCTGGGTCTTGCCCACACTGATGGAGGGCTTCGCACTTAGGCCAGAGAACCCAGGCCCCCAGTACCAGGGCCACAGGGAGGCAGGAAAGCATCTCCTCCCTAGGCTGTGTACCCCCTGCCTTGCACATGGGGGTGAGGCACAGTGCTGCAACCGAAGGCATCAGCCTATGTGCCCAGCCTGGCTCCTGCTAGCTGCACGTCACAGTCCAGCACCCTGAGTCTTGGCAGACACTGTCTGTTGTGCCTGCACCAGACAGCTCACCTGCTGCCAACCCTGGGCCCTGCCTGGCCCTACCAAACCCCACAGACAGCTGGCACAGGAAGGGGTCTGAAAGGCAAGCGGGCCATGCACCTGGAGTGTCACCTCCTCACCAGGAGACTGGAGCAAGAAGGGGGGCAGGAGGGACACGGTAGTAATAGTTCCTATGTCCCAAGGCGGGGCAGTGCCAACGTGCCTGTGAGCCTGTGTGGCCTAAGGAAGGCAGCACAGCGACCATGGGACAGGTCTGGGAGTTCCTGCTGAACCACTCAAAGGCTTAAAATACAACCAGCCCGGCTCCCTGCTGGCCAGCTGCTGGGGGAGGACTGAAACCCTACCCTCTACTCTGCGGGGCACTGGACCAGGCCCAGTGCGGGGAACAGCGGGCCCCCCCCCCGCCCCGTGTCAGGGCTCAGGCCGCTGGGAAAGGAAGCGGGTGATAGGAAGGAGCCCCATCATGCTCCCAGCAGCAGCCAGGCACTCAGGCCAGAGAAGGGGAACTGCCTGCACCCCGCAAGGTAAGCCAGGCCCATGGGTGCATGCAACTCCTGGGCCTCTAGATTATTTCAAAATAGAAAACACAATAAAAGTATGCTAGGTGAGGGAAAAAGACAGGCTGAGTAAAGAAGCCAGACACACAGGGTCACATGTTCATAGGAAGCGTCCCACAGACAGAGGCAGCGTGGGTGAGTGGTGGCCTCGGCTGGAGAGGGGGTGGCTGCTAACGGGCACCTAGACTCCTGTGGGGAACCGAGCAGAGGCGGGGGTCAGGGTGTACTGGAGTACAAAGTCCCAAGCTGCGTGTGTTGACATGGGCAGCTTTCCACTATGTCCGTTTCACCTTGACACAAAACTGTGGGCATGCTGCGGATCAAAAGGGGCCATGCCTCCTAGGCAAGTACTCACCACCAAGCCACACTCAGCCTCAGCGTCATCTTTTTTTTTTTTTTTTTTTGGTACCAGGGATTGAACTCAGGACCTTGCACTTGTGAGTTCAGAACTGTGCCATTGAGCTAAATCCGCGGCCCCTCTCAGAATCACTTCTAAGAGTGGGGAACAAACAGGCCACAAACACCCATGGAGAAGGATCCAGGGCTGGGAAGCACCCAGGGGGCCTACCGAACTGTCCCAGTCCGTGGTCCTGCCTCATCCCACCCTCTGCTCTGTGCCTGCAAAGGCCTCAGACCAGCCTGGGGTGGGGCCAGGGGTTCCCAGGACTCCCTGGGCAGAGGGGAGGCCCCGGGAGGAGGCCACACCCAGGGAGGAATGGGGCCCCTGCTTAGGAGCACAAAAGGGGAGTGGACTGGGCAGGTGACAAACAGAGGAAGCCCATGAGGGGTCACCAGCCAGATGCCTCAAGGACGCAGTCAGGGACCCTGGCGTGAGCACGACGACGCGTGGTTCTGTGATGACAGTCGCACCAGGCTAGGAGGAATTCTCACCCAGAGGCCCAAGATTCCAAGGCCCAGCCAACAGCACTCATGCTTGGCCAAGACCAGGGTGCCGGCAGGCCCACTCTGCAGGAGGGCACAGGCCCTAGGCAGTGAAGGTCCCCAGCCAGCACTGGATAGTAAAGACCTGACAGGTAGGTGCAGACGAGAGGGCCACACCTTCTACATGCTTGCTTCTAGACAGCCAGGGCCCAGAGCCCACGGGGAGGCTGGCTTCAGCAGAGCAGGTAAAGGCTGAGGGAGTCACAGGGCCTTTGCACAGCCATTCCCTCCTCCTCCTACTCAGCTCTCAGAGCATCTGTTTTGAATGGTGACCCCAGCCCCACTTGAGCACGGATGAGCACTGTCCTGTGCTCAGCTGTCTCCCGGGACTCACAAGAGGGCAGGGGTGGGGGGGGGTTGCTCCCTAGGAGGAGGTGGGGCAGGTCAGGTGCTGGCCCCCGGCCCACCTGCACCCTCAGCTTTGCCGGCTCCTCCTCCCCCACCTATGGAGCTGCCCAGCCACCAAACCAAGAGACACAGGCAGGACCCAGGGCAGGGGAGCCTCTGCCCAGCCACCCACACGGGCAGGCTGCAGCTCCCCGGGTCTCTCATAGTAACCCTCACATGCTGGTGGCCCTGCTCATCCTGAGCACGAGAAGCCAGGCCCAGGAGATCTCAGTCACCAGGAGGAGGATGCAGATCAGAAAAAAGGCCTGCCTTCTCTGCACTCCCCTGGTGCTGAGGTTTATAAAAAAAAAAAAACAACTATTTCCTGGCTGTGTGGTCCTGGTCAGGTAACCTACCCTCTGAGCCTCCACATCTTCATCTGTAAAGTGCCACATTGCCATCTCTCAAAGATACTGAAAAATCAGTGGTAATGACCCCCCCAAAAATACATAAGGATTTCCAACCTCAAATAAATCTTTCTTTTTTTTTTTTTTTTGGTACCAGGGATCAAACTTGGGTCCTTGCGGTTGTGCAACAGGCAGCGAAACCACTGAGCTAAATCCCTGGCCCCAACCTCAAATAAATCTTAAAAAATAAAAATAAATAAATTTTAAGAACAAATATAGAGCTGGGTGTGGTGGTACATGCCTGTAATCCCAGCACTTGGGAGGCTGAGGCAGGGGGATCACCTCGAGTTTGAAGCTAGCCTGGGCTACAGATTGAGTTCAAGGCCAGCCTGAACTAATAGCGAGAACACTATTGAGACACATTAGTGTCTCAAAACACTAAAACAAAACAAAACAAAACAAAAAAGAACAAATATTGAGCCAGAAGTTGGCAGCACATATCTGTGAGGCCTGTGAGACCTGTAGAGCACTCTGGGAGGCTGAGCCAGGAGGACAGAAGTCCCAGGGTGACTCAATACCCTATCTCAAAATAAATTAAAAGAGCATTGGGGCTGGAGGTCAGTGTGAAGGACAGGGAGGTGACAGGGTGGGGCAGGCTGCGCAGGGCCTCGTGGGAAATCTTGGCTTTTCCTGCTTTTTGTTTTCCCCAGTACTGAGGATGGAACCCAAGGCTTCACTCATGCCAGGCAAGAGCTCTCACACTGAGCTTTATCCCCACCCCCTTTAAAAACTTTGCTTTTATTGTTTTGAGGCAGGGTCTCACTGAGTTGCCCAGGTTGGGCTTGAACTTGTGACCCTCCTGCCTCAGCCTCCTAAAAGTTGCTGTGATTATAGGTCTGGCTAGGACTTTGGGGCTTTGGCTGTTCCTGGGCGAGAGAGAGGGGATGGAAGGCTCCTGACCAGAGGAGGGGCAGGGCCAGACTCAAGTGGTCACAGGGAGGGCCAGGCTGTGGGGGTGGGGCTGGCGCTGGTGGACAGGTGAAGCATGGGGCAGGCGTAGTCAATGGTGGGCTTCCAGGTAGACCACGATGGTTCAGGTGTAGGGGACGAAGGGGCAAGAACTGCAGGTTTCTGACCTGGCCCCAGTGGAGCCCAGGCTGGAGGTGAGTTCACAAAACCTGCAAGCTGCCCGCCCAGGGTCAGTGCAGACCTAGCACACCTGGCCCAAAGGCCTCTTGAGTGGCCTCTCACCCTCCCCAGGGCCCTCCATCTGCAAAAGACCCAGGGCCTCCCTCACTCTCCGGCTGTGGAGTCCTCGTCATGGGGCAGGCACAGGCCTGAGGGTACCGCTTGGGCTTGTGCACCTGGGACTCCTGTATCCTACACTGGGACCCACAGATGCTAACAGGGCAACAGTGGCCTATATTTGCCACCAGGCCTCTGCTGTCACCCACAGCGGCCCAACACAGCAGAAGGCAGCAGCTGCCTCGCAGATGCAGAAGCTGGGCTCCAAGGACAGAGTGTGACGAGGTCACCTGGTGGAAAGTGCCCACACCCCAGTGCCCTGTGTGCAGGT